ATGTATTCCTCTCCCGTCTACCTTCTACCTCCTACCTACATACCTAGCTAGCTACCTATGCGGTACCCTACCTTCCCCTACGTAGTATACCGAGCACTCGTTTAGTCAGTCACCTGAATACGTGGTGGTTGTGCAGGTGTGTTGTCTGGCGTCGGCCATAGGCCATGTGGCTTTTCGCATCGCTACCGCGAGTTCGGAACCTGGAAATACCCACCTGTATCGGATTGAGCGGGATTGGTAGTCGAGCTCAACACTAAGGCGGACTATTTGGTTAGGTCGTTGTGGGTGACTCATTCACTGTCCAAATGACGAAGGGGGATTCGGGGCCCCGACACTTGACGTGAACGAGCGTCACAGAGACCGGGCTGGTCCCGGTTGGCCGGTCAAGAGAGGAAGCCAGGGGAGAGAACAAGGCGAGAAATCAAGGGGATGGAGATACGCGTACGTAGAGAGAGCATGGGAGTCGGGAGTCATCCGCACACATGATTACAGTTATTTTACCTTCACCTTGCTCGCTCGAGGACGCGTCGGGCTTTTCCGAGCAGTCCGCTCGGTCTGGTTGTCGCCCTGACTCTAATTGGAACGGGGAGGCTTGAGGCAGAGAAGCTTGGTATGAGGTTTTGAAACAAGTCGATCATATTATTCATATTAGTACTGTAGTCAGAAAGATGCTATAGCCGCCGTGATTCGCAGACAAAATAGTAAACGGCCCGTTAAGAGCAGGTTGGTGCCTTGAAGATGCGGATCCTTGGCAACCACCTTGGTATCCCGTACACCTACTCAGGACACAAAGGTACACAGACGACGGGGGACGGGGGACGGGGTGGAAGATGGCTATTTCAGGTATCGGCACGGTACATGCTCGACAGATTCGCCTACTTACTTATGATAGGTAGATGCAGACATACCGATACTCAAATAGCGGACGCAGACGATGCGGCGTCGACGACGGTGACGATGAACGAACAGCGGACCAGACGACCGGACATCGTGTTTGTTGCTGCCTGGCCACCTAACTTGGAACCGTCGCGAGCGCGAACTCGAGTTCGAGCGAGCGCATCATTTCTCCTGTTGTGTCTCAAAGCGACCCGTCAAGACGGTACGGTTAGTGGCAGTTCTGAAAGGATGCATTAGAGGGTTACATTGGTGAATGCAAATGGTAGGAGTCGGATGTTTCGAGTGGTCCCAAATTTCGAATGGACATGGATACTTCCTAGGTACATGATCGCTTTGCGTAATTCAACAGGGTAAGAAGTCGTACTTGCGTACTATCTCCGTCTACTACCAGTACACCAACTACTACTACTCCTACTACTGCATAGTACTAGTATGTAGTCTCCCACCTACATCATGATGACATACGTACCGTAGTTACGTTCAGATACGGTAGATCATGATTAAGCATCGCACTGCACTACATCTACACCAGTTACCCGTTACCAAAAGTGTACAGCATGGGTATCGCAGAAACTGTAAGTAAGGAAACTCGGTCAGGGACCTACCGGCATCCCAAATGGCTCGGTGCCAAGCATGGGTCCAAGCCGATGTGTCAGCTTGAGATCAAGACGACGTAGGCGAATGAAAAGCCGGGGACGAAATGAATTTATTACTAGTATAGACTGCGGCCGTGGTTATTTCTGAAGGAGCTAAATCTGAGCGAGGTCTAGTCAGAGTCATCGCCGAAGTCCAATACCAGGGAAACGAGGGAAAAAAGGTGGGACCACCGGCCCATGCTACGTAACACAGGCAGACTCGGTACAGTAAATGTGATCGAGTGCAGGGCAGGCAAGGCCGGGAATTACCTACGAAGTCAAGTGGTACTTTGCTATTAACTAAGTATAGCCGGAAGAGAGAAAAAGAGATACCGGTAGAAGACAGAGAGAGAGAGAGAGAGAGACAGGGTCGTTCTATCACCGAAGAACAAAAAAAGTGGCATATTCTAGAATTTAGTAGATGTTTCTCTATGTATTGTATGTATGGACGTTGTGTCCAGTCGTAGGTAGACTCATCGAGGATGCAGCCCTCGGTCATATTCGGTAGTTTGTGAGGTTGTAGTAGGAGTTAGGAGGTCGCATTAGAACAAGCTGTAAGATTGATCTGCATAACTACCACCTTGGGTACAGATTGGGGCTATACCCTCCTGTGCGGTGCAGCGCAGTGCAGGTGCAGATGGCGATTTTTTATTATCATGACTGGGTAAGTATATTATTATCTGGTATTATTATTCTTTTTCTTTCTCTTATTATTATTATTATTATTATTATTATCATCGTTATTATTATTTTTCTTACGTTGGTTTGACACCCCTACTAGTACATCATAGTCATAGAGTAGTAGCAGTATATGTATGGACCATGTACGTACTTGCTTCCATTCATACCCGTCTCATGATGAGTAATGCGTCTGTCTTAGTCGGCGATATGTGGCCACAAGGCAGTGCTGTATGGACAATTGTAGTTAGTCGTCGTCGACGGTTCAGACTTAGTAGACGTCTAGCCCACCCTGTCATTTACCGCCAGTGCTGGTGTGATGAGGTGAACACTAAGTAAACCTCTGATATCTTTACCTAGGTAGGTTATGCTATGTAACTACCTACTCGAGTCGGGAGGCGTGGTCTATTCTATTCTATGCCCACTATGCTATACTACCTACTATAGACACCTCTAGGAGGTATACAGAAATAACTACTCGCACGTGGCTTACGCAGAGATTCCAAGTGAGATCCAGCAGTGAGCAGTAACGTGCAGCGCAGTGCAGTGCAGACGACGGCCTGCAGTACGAGGCGAGTGCGTGCCGTCCACCACCGCCAGCGCTAGCAGGTAGCTAAAGTAAGGTACAGTGATTTTCAGCGCAGAAATGTCTTTCGCTAAGCCCTAGAAATATGGAGCTTCCACTACCTGCTAGGCGAGCTAGGTACTATTACAGGTCAGATACAGGTCGTCGGAGCACACACCAAGCAGGCGCTAAGTCGACCAAAATGCGCCGGTGAAGCATTGCGGCCCCCAAAATAGGACTGACTTACAGGGGGGTTCCACGCTGTCAGAAGGCACAATTGGCAGCACAATAGCCACAGAAGACAGTACCTAGGTACCAAGTACATGCAGGCTGGACCCCTGCTTTCTCGAAGTTCTCTGCAGTCTTCCATGGTGATTCCATGCATAGCGCTCATAAACATGTTGCACGTTCTGTGTCGAAACGCCAGAGATACCCAGTCAGAGAGAACAAGCTAGAGAGACATACATGCATACCTAGGTAGAGAGAGAAAAACGAAGTCACGTCAGATAATCACACACCCTCTCTCTCTCTCTCTCTCTCTCTCGCTTGGCTCTCTTTTCTCTCACTCCCCCCCAACCTGTCGTTCTTCACTCACTCTCTACCCATACCCATACCCATCTCTTCTCATTCCCACAACCACACACCCCCCTTCCTTGTCGTCTAATGTACCTAGGTAGGCTAAAACCTAGTCTAATCTGGGTACATCCGTCCATCCATACTTACTTACTTACTTACATCTGTCTGTCTGCGGCACTACCGTATCGCGTGCCAATGCGGCATCGTCTCTTGCTTATTACCAAATTTGGATTCGAAGCTAAAACACCCCATGACGAACACGACGTATGCTTAGTTTGGAAATTCGGCTGACGGCCTCGTTGCCTCACCGGACCAGCGCCTATAGCAAGCCCACCACACACACACTTACCACACATACCTACCTACCTACCTTTCTAACCTATCTCGTGTACCCGTCTTCTCTTCCAGATACACCCCCTGGTACTTTTCGGCAAGATGCCGTAGGCGTTGGCACGCTCTGGGTCGCGATCCCTTTCGGCTCAACTAGGTTGACTCGTAGTCGAGGCTGATGAGTATCCACCACACTTGGCGTGAACCGCAGCAAAGGTACTCGCAAGATGTCATCGCGCTCCTCGCCCATCAGGGGCCTAGGCTCCCGTTGCCGACCCATCCATCTAGATGGACGGCGTACGGGAGCCAGGAACATGGTTCTTGGTTTAATGTAACAGGAGCTTAGGATGACCAGATATATAAGTCCGGGAGGCATCCCGGATCTCGAGAGCTAATATCATCATCACCACCATCATCACTAAACAACAACAACAATAACAACTCCTACTATTACTCTTAATCCTTCCCATCCTACTACTGCTACTACTACTACTCGTCCTCTTCACTGCCACTACTATCACAATCAACATCTCTACAAATTACTTGGACTTGCTTGAATCTTCACATCAGACATCCTCACTTGCTTTCATCTAAGAGACGCCACTTGCCACCTGCCACCAACCTTCTACTATACCAACCCATATCAACTACAACTCACATCTCCAACAATCACAATGGCTGCCTTTGCTTTCTCTTCTTGCCCTCAGACCCTGAGCTTCGGTCGAAGTGGCTACAACAAGGACGGTGACAACGAGGATGACAAGCGCTGTTTTGGTCGCAGCGGATATAACAAGGATGGAGACAACGACGACGAGAAGCGCTGTTTCGGCAGATCAGGGTACAACAAGGATGGCGATGACGAAGGCGACAAGGGCCGCAGCGGATACAACTAAAGGAGATCCCGCGGGGCGAATCAACCGGATTTAAGAGAGGGCGGCTCTTTCCGCAAAGGTCGTGGGATATTGAGCCGCCTCTCTCTCTCTCGCCACCACTTTTCGATTCCTTGACTTCTGTCTGTCTGTCTGTCTTCGTTCGTTTTGATACCACTCAACGCAACCTTCATTTATTCGGATTTTCCCCAACTTTCCCTTTGTCAACTGCATCGCCAGGGCGCCGGAAACCATACAACAACTTTCATCGTCATCGTTTTTCCAAAGCATTTACATCGGGGGCTGTACGAGTATGATTGTACGATATTATATCGGGAAGGGAACAAGAACAACAACTATAGACTTTTGTTTAAGACTTGCGCCGGCAACGGAACAACAACATTGTATGATTAGCATTTGCATTGGTGGGGGTTATAGATATCAGCTCGGGCTTTTTTTCTTCTTTCTTTCTTTCTTTCTTTCTTGGGAGGGCGAAACGGGTAGGAATGGGTGGAAACAAACAGGGAGCTTAACACCCACGGTACCGGAGCATAAACATGACTGTACAATAATCTACAACACCATTTTGGAATTCGAAACCTATTCTACCTTATTTTCCTACGCAGAATCTTCCGTCTTCATTAGCACATGTATCTCGCGAGCCAAGAGGGAAAGGGAAAAAAAAAAAAAAAAAAAAAAAAAAAAAAAACGAGGCCACTTACTTCTCGAAGATGACGCCGAGAATCTCCTCGACATCGCCAGCCTCGCCTCGACCTGTGATCCGGCCGAGACAGCTAGCCGCGTAGCGGAGGTGTTCAGCGGCCATGGTAAGATCGATGTCGTCGCGAGCAGCAGCCGCAGCGTAATCATCATTTCCTTTGTGCTCGGTGACCTGGAGGTACTCCTCGAGACTCACCCGACACTGCACGAGGAGCTGCCGCTGGCGCTCCGTGACGCCGTGGAGGTCCTGCAAACTGGTGGGCAGCTCAGTCATATTTTGGAACGCCAAGACCAGCCTATCCGCCACGAGGCGCACTCCACCGGGATCACCACGATGGTCAGAACCTTGAATTTCTTGCGCCTCTTTACATGAGATGAGCATGGGGCGGATCTCTTCCAGCCCGGGTATCTTCTTTAGCACGTTGTCCCGAAAGGCGCGGACGAGCGGGCCCAGATCCGCCGGGGATGGCACGGCGTCTATCTTGTTGATGAGCACTAGGCGTCGGGGACAGGCGGCTGCGAGTTTTAGCGTCTCGGTATCGTAGCGGATCTCGTGGTGGCGGCGGTCGTGACCCCCTGCTACCGCGTGCTTCTCCTCCTCCACAGAGGCGAGAACGATGATTACATCAGATTGTGCGGCCCTTGTCCTTGCTCGCCTGATCCCTTCCTCCTCGACAGCCCCAATTCTCGTTTGGGAGGGATGTGGATGATGCGCAGCGGTGGCGTCGTCATCATGTGAAGCGGCGCGGCTAGTCGTTGTCGTCGTGGCAGTTCTAAATCCGGCCGTGTCAGCGAACGTGCACAGATACCCTCGGATATCGAGATTAGCTTCGATGATGTCGCGCGTCGTGCCGGATTCCCCTGACACGATGGACGCCTCTCGGCCGACAACTTGGTTCATCAAGGAACTCTTGCCGGCGTTGGGTGGGCCCAAGAGCGCTACCTGGATACCGTTTCGCAGAAGCTCGGCCCGGTGACTCGCCATCTCGTGGACCTTGATGCTCCTCAGGATATCGTGGATTTGCTGGCTGACACTGCTAACAAGGGAAGCAGGCGATTCGTCGAAGTGCTGGTCTTCCTGGAAATCTATGAGGGCTTCCATCTCGGCTCGCGCTTCCAGTAATTTGCGGCGCCAGTCCTCGTACGTGCGACCCAAAGATCCAGAGCTACCTCGGACGGCAGCTCGTCGCTGCTGCTCCGTTTCAGCCGCAAGGGTTTCGCTTAATGCCTCCACCTGAGCCAGGTCAAGCCTGTCATTCATAAAGGCCCGTTTCGTAAACTCCCCGGGCTCCGCGTAACGGATACGCCCATTGCCGGCGCCGGCGCATTTGGGTATGGCCGACAGGACTGCTTTGACGGTGGCGCTGCCGCCGTGGACATGCAGCTCTAGTACATCCTCGCCTGTGACGGTTCGCGGTCCCGGGAAATACAGGACCATTGCGGCGGAATCGAGAATCTCAGATCCCTGCGTGCCTGGAAGGAATAGTGCTCTTACTGTGGCATAGCGTGGTTGTGGCGCCTTCTTATTGGGGCACAGCATATGGTATATCTACAGAGCAGTTTTAGCCGGCCGTGTCGTTGGACAGAGCTACTGATTCATTGCTTACTTGTATACAAGAAGGGCCCGAGACACGGATTACAGCTATGCCGGCCTTGCCCTCGGCTGATGATAGAGCGTAGATGGTGTCATGATGGGTCTCGTATGTTTGTGCAATCTGAGAGGGCGTATGGTACGATCGCCATCTTTGAGGCGTCAAATATGGCCTAATAAAGGGCCTATAAAGCGGAGCTACCACAAAACCCGCTGTCTTTTCTACGGCGGCTTTCCGGCAGGCTGAACATAGCGTTTGGGCGAGCAGACGTCTAGCTGCTATACGATGCATAGACTGAAGACTCGCTCTAATGCTGACTGAGTCGCGTTTGAAACAGATCACCAAGCTAAGCCGAATGAAATGAAAGATGATGATGAGTAAGTAGATATGAACAAGGCTGATGGAATAGAGAGCGTGAGAGTCAGTTTGATAGAAGTGGCCGACTAAAAGGTTGAAGTTGATTGGTTTAGCTCGAGCTGCAGATCGCGGGATAGACCCACGGATCTCAGTGACTGTCCAATCAGACTTCTTAGTCAGCGGCTCTTCAGGTCGAGTGGGGCTGGGCCCCTTGGTGCTTCCAAGCTAAAGTTTTTTTTTCTTTCGACATTGCAGACCTTGACATCTGATTCCTGATCCAAACCTACACGTGCCTACCTACGATATCTCGTAGTAGCACTAATTGGGATATCCCCCGACTGCTCTTCTCCTTGAAGCGTACCTATATTTGACTAAGGAGTCTGAAGATTACGACTCTTATTTATTTGAACGGGGAATTTGTGACGGGAGCGAAGCTCTTATCTGACCTCTTATCATCGATTGCATTGGTTCAGCATCCGCCACCCGTTTCTCAGCCTTTCCCAACTTCATCGCCCCTGTCGTCAAGATGAGTGACGAAATCATCTGGCAGGTCATGTAAGTTCTTAGTCTCGGACAGATTCATCTTTTCCAAGTGAATAAATGCTGATACAGCCGGTATAGTGACAAGCAGTTCTGCTCTTACAAGGTCAAGGCGACTCGTGAGAGGACATTCTGTCGAAATGAGTGAGTTCTCTCACCACAGTCAGCTTGAGACCTCATCATCTAATATCTGTAGAATGAACATATCTGGATTGTGCAGCAGAACCAGCTGTCCACTTGCCAACAGGTAAAGTCCCAGTCATCCCTTTCTAGCTGGCATACTTGGCTTTTCATGCCTCGTTGCAGACCGTTAATTCTTGCAATAGCCGTTATGCCACTATCCGTCCCCACCCAGATCCCACAAAGGCGATCAATTATCTATACATTAAGACTCCGGAGAGAGCGTGAGTAACAATTTCACCCATTTCCCACATTGCGGACAACCTTACAGACTTGTTCCACTTTGAAGGGCGCTGGAGGCCCAAGGACCTGCATTTTCTTTTCTCTTTTTTTATACAGAGGCTGATGCTAGATCTTACAGGCATATGCCCTCAAAACTATGGCAGAAAATTAAGCTATCGCAAAATTATCAGCAAGCTTTGGCGCAGATCGAGGAACATTTGAAGTACTGGCCACAGTATATGATCCATAGGTGTGTATCTACTCCCACCCACTCGGTGTCACGCTAGCTCCTCTTATTCTTGGAGCCGACATCTCACCACATGTCGATCATCGGGGCCAATCAGCCCGTCATCATAGTAAACATTATTCCTGACATTTCAATAGAGCTAAGCAACGTCTCACTCGGTTACAACAAGTTAGTATTCGAATGAGACGATTGGCCAAAGAAGAGGCTAGACTTGGCGAAAGGATCGTTCCCAAGCTAGCTCCAAAAGTCAAAAGACGTGAGGCGACCAGAGAACGGAAGGCAGAGGCTGCGGCCAAGCTTGAACGTGCTATTGAGAGGGAGCTGCTTGGGCGACTACGTGAAGGTGCCTACGGAGACCAGCCTCTGAATGTCAGCGAGCAGATCTGGAAGAAGGTGCTGAATGCCATGGAGCGTGAAGGAGAAGCGACCAGAGACAAGGATCTTGACACTGGAATTGAGGATGAAGATGAGGATGAAAGAGAAGAGGAGTTTGAAATGGATGATGAAGAGGAAGATGGCGCGGTGGAGTACGTTTCCGATTTTGAAGAGAGTGATGAAGACGATCTAGACGATCTCGAAGATTGGCTGGGAAGCGATGAATCCGGAGAGGAAGAGTCCGAGACGGACGAGACGGATGAGGATAGTGAGGATGCATCGGCGAAGAAGAAATCATTGGCAACAGGCGACAAGCGGAAGCGGGCACAGGCTGCTCGAGCTAAGCCGAAGAAGATGCCCCGACGCAGGCGGGAGATTGAGCACGAGCATGAGCTCGAACACCAGCGACCTGAGCTGGCCTTCTAACTTTCCATTTGAGAACTCCATGGCCGGCGCGGCCGGATTCTTCTTGATACCCCTTGAACATGAATCGAGATACTCGGACATATCAGAGCTGGAGAATATGTACTTTATTTCTGATCAATTGGCATATTTCGTACCTCCTCAAAACTAGAAGACTGATGAAAAATTGAAATAATTATCAAGACATCTTTATAGCCCTGATATTCTGCGTCCTTGCTTGCTTGCATAGCCCTGGCCTGACTTGAATGCTAGTGAGTTGTAGATCCTCCTTGGGGTTAGATGTAGATTGTTCCCATCTAGGTACATATGTAGGTAGTTTTAAACCATGTGAATTCATCCGATTTGAATCTGCCAAAAGTGGCAGGTGGGGGAGATCTGTACCCCACCTTCTAAGTACTATCTACACTGCCTAGTTACGTGGGTACTTGCCCAATTTACCTGACCCAGCTCTCGTTTGAAGTGTTTCTACCCTACCAAACCTGAGACGAGACGCAAAACACCAACATTCCTCTCGCCAAGCTACCAACCAGACTTCCTCCTAGCCAAAGCAAGCCGTGCGATTCGCGGACTCTCAACCAAGCTACAAACTACACATAGCGTTATTTCATTCGAGCATAATAACCCGTCGTCGCTTTCTTCGAGCATACTTCTTGCGAGCAACCGTTCTGGTGTCCAGCAACCAGTGGCACCATGTCTGGCTGGTACAGTAACATCGTCGGTGCTACGACATCCAAGATATCGAATCTCCAAAGATCATATTTCAGCGGAGAAGCCGATGGCGATACCGAAGACGACACGCATGTTTGCAGAGTCCTGCGATCGTACTACACTGAGAAGGGGAAACCGTTTCCCGGATGGCTACCGCCAGATCCTAAGGCACCGCCACCCGCCACCGCTGTTTACTCACAACCGTCACAAGTAGGCTCGCGGTACGGCGGGCTTGGCCAACAACAACCGGGTGGTAGCCTGAGCTCACTGTGGGATAACAACCCTGTCTCGCAACAGTCGCAAGAAACGCAAAGCTTACGGAGAGGGAGGGGAGGACCTTCTGCCATGCGAAACAGCGATGCTAGGGATAGTCCTTTTCGCAACTCAGACCCTATGGCCGGGAGCGATGCACAAGCACGGCCATTGCCATCGCAACGGGCAGGAAGCTATCAGACTCAAGGGGGCTTTGGCATTTCCGCAACACCACCTGCCGGTTCAAGCGGCGGCTCGGCGCAGGACCGGCTTAAGCAACGCCTGTTTGGAGGTTCTAGAACAACGAGCCCAGCAAATAATGGCCCCTTCAGCGCGCCACCGCAACGGGGAGGAGGCAATGGCTCGGGCGATTACGAAGATAGGTTTGCGCCTGGAGGCATGTATGATGCTAGATCCAACCGAGGTGGAGGTGGAGGTGATAGGCCATACATGAGTGCGAACTCTCCTTGGTCAAATGAACCCGACCCTTCAAATGCCGGTGGCGGACGACCAGGAGGCAGACGACCTGTTGGCCTCCCTAGCGGTCCGAAGATGAGGTGATGATTTGGATACCTATTTATCTACCTACTTAATAGTACTGGGAAACCGGATACTTCTCAGCACCCGTTGCAGTTGTTGTTTAGCGATTTGAGGCGAATATAATTCCCGTAATCAGTCATATTCACCGGGTACAGGCAAATTTGAGAGATAGAGTCATACTGGGATGTGGCCTTCTGGAGTATGATCGTGCAAAACTAGTGCTCTACGCCTCTTTGCCTCTGACGCTGGCATTTGTGCTGAAACTAGCTTGCTTTGTATGCGAAGCTTGCTGTGACTATCATCATTGCCAAGCCCCTTTCTTTACGGAAGCATGTTTTGGTTAACCTATGGTGTGAGAGTGGATGTGAGTTTTGAGTGTTGCCTAAGCTAGCTTGCGCGTCTTGTACTTAACAGTCGTGTAGGTATACGCCCATTTATCGATGGTAGGTGAGCGGGCCGTGGTATTCAATGGCTTTGCCACATAAGAAACATCGCATTTGTTTAATAGGACGCGCCATCACCCTACCTCCTCTCGAGTCTCTACTGCAGTATGAATCGGATATGTAGTGCGTAACCTAAGTAGAGCTAGTAGAGCTGCTGGTTGTATAGCACAGCACTGATAACCCCTAAAAACTCCAGGCAGCCCACTACCGGTATTGTACAGGTAGGTAGGTAGGTACTTACTCAGGTGTACATGTAAGAAGACCTGGCCACTGTGGGGCTTGAACCATGCCCCTCGACCTTGGATTAAAAGAGCTGCTCACCCGACATGCAACTTCTTGGTGTTCACATGCTCTCTATTCACCTGATCTACTGAATACTTGATAGGCAAATTCTGGGGAGGGACACCTCTCACCGCTCCGTTCCCTCTGCAAGATCCTGTCCTCCCGGGAGTCCATCTCTCAACCCTTCCCGTCATCACAACTGCTCCACCCCGCGATGACATCAGATCCGCCGCGAGGGCGAGGGAGCTCTCCCACTGGTAGCTTTTACGCCATGAGCGACGACGAAGAGGGCGAGTACAACACCGTCACTCACACCGAGACAGGCCGCGGAGTCAAACTATTGTACTCCAAAAGCAAGGTGTATATTCACCCAACACCATCAGCCAAAGACAACATCCCCGGCTACATCGCTCTGCTACAGCAGAAAGGTCTTTCGGACGGGCGGCCAACTTCTTCTTCCTCACACATGTCCCACGCGCCGGCCTCATCGGACCTTCTCCTGGCTTGGCTTCCCGAGTCTTCTCTGGGTGACGCTGCTAGTATCTATGTCAAAGTTGACCTAACTGATGGTGACTCCCCTCCGAAACAAAGTTATCTAGTGCCATCGCCCCCAACCGTAACGACCCATCGGGGTTCAATCGGCCATTATGCATTTGCTATACCTGTGGGCGCCATATACTCTCTCCTGGTACGCCCTCCAAGCCTGGGCTGGTGGTTTGGCTCTGTGGTAATCAACACTAGGGCTGGAGATAGCTTCCCTGCGCTCTTTTTCCACGACAGCGAATGCCAGTCGACTATTTTACAAAAGAAGAAGCTAGCAAGAGAGAGCTTTGATCCTTTTGGCGAAAATGGCCAGGTATTTTGGGGTGGCGATGAGGTACTGCGCTGGCTGAGGCGTTACGTTCGTATTGAAAGGAGCGTAGTGGAGCCAAACATCTATTTAGTCGAACCAAGCAAGGAAGATAGTGACGGATTTGGTGGGCAGGCTAGCTCTAGCACGCCAACACAGATTGGTCGGCGCGACAGTTCACGTGGTATGTCTGTACAAGGAGCTGCGGGAACTTCAGCTGCCGGTCCAAGCGGGCAAACGCACGACGGTGGCATGGACCCGGTAATGAAGTTCGTCAAGGAAACCGGCTGGAATATCATGGAGAAGTTTAGTAAAGTGACGACGTTTACTCGAAAGACAGCGCAAGACATAATCGACAATCCTAAAATACCACCCCAGGTCCGAAGATTGATGGGGAATCCTGAGGTGCAGACCATCCAAAGTGATTTCGACAGTGCGAGAATATATCTAGCCCGATGGGCGATGGGAATTGCAGAACAGAGTGAGAAAGACCGGACAAAGCGGATATGGACTGCAAGAGATGTCATGGAAATGGAGGACACAGACGTGGGCGAGTTTGAATTACTGGAAACGAATTCTATGTCACTTGAAGATCGGCGAAATCGGGTAACTCTCCAAGAATGGAAAGGTTTTTTCGACAGTCATACAGGCAGACTCTCATGGACGATTGACGAAGTTAAGGAACGAATTTTCCACGGAGGACTAGATCCAGACGATGGAGTTCGCAAAGAAGCTTGGCTTTTCCTCCTGGGTGTATATGACTGGTATAGCACGCCTGAGGAACGAAGAGCCCAATTGGCATCGTTGAGAGATGAATACGTGAAACTCAAGGCATCATGGTGGGAGAGGCTTGTCGACCTGGGTGGTGAAGGTGAAGAAGGTGAATGGTGGAGAGAACAGAGAGGAAGGATCGGTAAGTTTGAATCGCTGGTGACCATATACACAATCAACATACTGACCATGGCTCCTATTTCTTAGAGAAAGATGTGCATAGGACTGACCGCATGGTTCCCATATTTGCTGGTGAAGATACCCCTCATCCAGATCCAAACTCTCCCTTTGCATCCGTAGGAACAAATGTCCATATGGAGCAAATGAAAGACATGCTCCTCACTTATAACGAGTACAATAAAGATCTAGGCTATGTCCAGGGGATGTCTGATCTGCTCGCACCGATATACGCCGTAATGCAGGACGATGCTATGGCTTTCTGGGGATTCCAGCATTTCATGGACCGCATGGAACGAAATTTCCTTCGAGATCAGTCTGGCATGAGAAACCAGCTTCTTACCCTCGATCACCTAGTCGCATTTATGGATCCGAAGCTTTATGCTCATCTTCAAAAGGCCGATAGCACCAACTTCTTCTTTTTCTTCCGTATGCTTTTGGTATGGTACAAGCGGGAGTTCAAGTGGATGGATATCTTGCACCTGTGGGAAATCCTTTGGACGGATTACCTGAGCAGCAGCTTCCATCTCTTCATTGCCCTAGCAATCCTAGAAAAACACCGTGACGTCATCATGGCTCATCTCCAGCACTTCGATGAGGTACTCAAGTATAGTATGTTGATGCTCTCCTGTGTTTTTGACCACAAGGTATTCATTACTTACATTTCACTAGTGAACGAACTATCCGAAACCATTGATCTCGAATCTACCTTAATACGTGCAGAGTATCTATTTCGCCGCTTCCAACGACTCATCGATACCATCGACAAGAAACAAAACTTCCCAGCGCCAAGGATGCGTCCAGGTCCAGGCCAGTCATCTCCATCGTCTAACACTGACTCTTCGCCTCAACAGGGGAAAGGGAAAGCTCCAGAACAAGAGTTTGATACGAAGACCATCACCCCTGAGCTTCGCAAACTTCTAAGTAGAAACGTCGAGGTCCTCCCTAGAAAGGTGGTCCATAAACAAGGTGACGGTTTCAAGACTTAGTTCAAATTTCTTGGTTTTATGAATGGATGTACATTGTTATGGAAGTCGAAATATGATTGAAAGCAGGTCGTGATATCTGCATTGCCGGGAAAATATGGATGGCATTGATTACTAACGAGAAGACTAAAAATGTAAAGCGGTACGGCGTTTGGGACGTTACGGATCACGCATTCTCTGGACTGGACTGGGCTTATACTTTCGTGCGGGCGTTGCTGTAATACAGGGTCAATACTAATGTTCAATTCAATTGCTGCCACTTTATTTTGTCTTTTCAACTTGTGAGATACTGCGATACGATGTGAGAATGAACAGAGGTTTGCAGCCTTCGCGTTGTAACACTGATCTTAGAGTACTAGTTTTCAATCATGTGATACTCACTTCATTCATATTCGAGGTCCCGTCCAACATAAATGATAAAATTCCGCCATGCCACTGAAGAAGTGGAAGAGGGAAATACATGGAACTATGAATATGAGCTAGCGACGCCCTTTAGATTGATCATTGTGCTGCCTATTTGCCCCATTCTTCACAATCAAGCAAGTCACTGCAGAGGAACTACGGAAATAAATAGAAGGAAGTAAGGGGATGGTTGAGCTTATTAAATTCAAATGCGCATTCTTCGCTCAATATGTGGGTTGCCATCCGGCGCATGCAAGATATGGTACATGGTGACAGACTGCGGGCCTCGACTCCATTACCTATCCCCAGCCTATTCATCCCTTTCTTTCTCACCCAAACCTGATTGATCCCCTACAGCAAAAAGAAATATTTCGATACTAAATGTAGCTTTTTCTCGCTCCCAGACGGGAGGGAACAAGAAATTTTCATATACGTTGGGTTTATTATGCTTAGAACTCTTGTTCCTCTTGGAAGGACATGCCGAAGCTGATGATGGTCCCGTAGATCAGCAGACCGCCGACAATACACATGATCATTGCTGGCACTTCGATTATATTTGAGTGTGCGAGGAGGACGGGCAGAGCTGTGGAAGCGAGGTGTTAGCATCGTTTGATACATATGATACCATCTGTAGGCGAGTCCCTCAAGCCTGTGGCCTCTCCGTCTCTAGACCAACACCATATACCGCCCATCCACAATTCCTCCCTATTAAGCCTAGTGAAGCTAATACACCCGCGCCATGGCGCGCCGTAAAGAACCTAAAAGAAAAGATGTCGGGTAATGATAAAATGAACGTACCAATTCCCATAACAACCAAGAACCCGGTACAGAAGCGACCGAGATCGAGCACCGCATTACCGGAGCTCTCGACGAAGTCGTCAGGATTGGCCCAACGACCGCAGATCCAGTTGGGTAGTGGCGCCAGCACGTAGGTCGCTACGACTAGCAACGGGTAATACTCCTTATATAGCGCGCATGATAAGATGACGAGTAGGAAGCCGACGGCCAGCACAAACGACAGCGCGATTATGGTCTTCAGCCCTGCATTCGGCATCGTGAGGGAGAGGGAGCAGGCGCTCTAGTATCTCAGAGCTGAAACTCGGAAGACAAGGAGCGAAGGTCCTATTCGGCGGCGCGCGCGGACGTCCTGGAGGAAGCTGCCGGCTAGGCGATGCTGGATAAGGAGTCGGCTTGATGACAAAGCGACGCCAGCTATTACGTACGTATATGAGGGTTGGTCGAGATTCGAGATCCAGTCATCGAGTGAAGAACGGTTTGCGACGGGATTATAGGCAGCTAGGGAGAGGTGATCTTTCGCGGTTGCAGGGCGTTGTCGTCAGCCTACCGTGATGCAATAAGCCGATACCTAGGTACCTACCTAACCTAAGGCTTGGACCGATGAAGAGAGCTTGAGCCACAGTCATGTGTCAGAGGTTTCCAAATTGTGGCTGGTGGAGAAGGGGCCTTCCAAGATCTGGTCAGGCCAAAACCGGGAACAAGTTGAGGTACGTACCTGCCGACATCCCACCAGGACCCGCATGACGCTAGTCCCGTTAAGTAGGAGCAACGAAGCTTGGAGCTGCCTTGCGATTGCCCATCGTCAGGACAGCTCCAGCCTCGTGTCTCGTCGACTTCAGTTAAACAAACAACGAACAACTTCTCGCCGAATCTCGTCTTCACCTACAGAGTTCTTCCATAGACTTACAAATCGTATACCACCATCTCGATAAGTAGCATTTGGCACCATGTTCAGGAACAACTACGACAACGACTCGGTCACATTGTAAGCTCTCAATCAGTCAAGGGTGCTGGCACTTATACTAATAACTCCCAGCTCTCCACAAGGGAGAATATTCCAGGTCGAATATGCCGCCGAGGCCGTGAAGCAAGGTTCAGTGGTCGTTGGTATAGTTAGCAAGACACATGCCGTGCTAGTCGCCATCAAGGTACGAACTCTACGGCTGCTTTTCAGAACCAACGTCATGAACCGAGCACCTCCCTAGCTAACTCACGCCTCTCTTACCAACAGAGAAACGCCGAAGAGCTGTCCTCGTATCAAAAGAAGTTATTCGCCGTGGATGAACACGTCGGTCTTGCCATCGCAGGTCTTACATCCGATGCCCGCGTTCTATCCAACTTCATGAAGCAGCAATGCCTCTCACAGCGACTCACATACGACCGCGCGATGCCCCTCGAGACACTAGTGTCCCTCATCGGCGACAAGGCCCAGCTGAACACACAACACTACGGCAAGCGGCCGTACGGTGTTGGCCTGCTCGTGGCCGGCGTGGACGACAGCGGCCCCCACCTCTTCGAGTTCCAGCCCTCCGGCCTGACACAGGAGATGCTGGCGTGCGCCATCGGCGCCCGCTCGCAGATGGCGCGCACATACCTCGAGAAGAACCTGGACAAATTCGCCGACTGCGGCCGCGACGAGCTCATCCGTCACGGTCTGAGGGCCCTCAAGGAGACGCTGGTCCAGGACCGCGAGCTCACGGTGGAGAACACGAGCGTGGGCGTCGTGGGTCCCAAGGAGCCCGGCAAGCGGCCCCTAGAGCCCTTCAAGGTGCACGATGGCGCCGAGACCAAGGACTGGATCAACAGTATAGCGGATGACACCGAGGCCGGCGGCGACGGCATGCAGGTGGATGAGTAAATGACGTATGACGGACGATACATTGGGATATATTTCCCCGTGCAGCTGAGCTTCCTCCTCTGTCTGAAGAAGGATCGAATGAATGGAAGTTTTTGGGAACTCCGAAATCCCAAGTGGACGAAACATGAGACTGCTAGGAGCGCTCTAGATCCGAGAATGAATGCATACAAGCGATGTGCGGAAAAGTTTACACATCACATCACATCACATCAGTCAGGCAGGCAGGCAGGCGAAGATGGCTGTACAATATCTAGATACTACTACTACTTAGATATTCACAAGAACCGAAATCAAAGTGAATACGGTATATTGTGACTTCGTCTTCAACTGTGAAATGTTCATGGTGTTTGATATGCCTCTAATTATCTCCCTATGTAGCCAGCTACCTACCATCTTACACACATACACACACACACACACATGTATATATATATATAAGTGCACGTGATCTATATCTCATCCTCCTCCTCATCGAAATCATCCTCCCGCCCCATCTCATACAGAATCCGTCCGCCCTCGCCAGCCCCAATATCCGTCTGCGCGTCAAAGTACGGCAACACGATGCCCTCTCTATCACGCCGCTGCTTCGCCGTCAGGCCTAGATTAAAGGTCGATTCAGGCTGTTCCTCTTCCGCGTCGTCGGTAGCTATCGTCCCTTCTTCTCCTGCGAAGGCCGGGTGGTCCGAGAGAAGGTAGAGTTTCGAAGGGGTGGTTTCCGCCCTTCTCTGCTGTCCGGTTGCTTCCGTTTTTAAGCTGGAGGTGGGGATTAATACGAATGTCTCGCCCACGGCCCGTCCGCTGCGTCGCCGCAGCTCCATTTCTACCACGAGGCCCTGCGTCACACCCGTGCTCTGCGCTGCTGCCGTTTTACCCCTTCGTAGACCCAGTCCGATTATTACGCCCTCGCGCCCTTCGTCTAGGCCGTACTCTGGGTCCCGCTGGCTGCGGTTTTGCGCGCGCCGGCGCTCGATGGCGTGGTGCAGGTTTGTGGTGCGCAGGACTGCTGTGGCGAGGTGTGTGAGGATCGTGAGGGGGTGCGGAGTGTAGGATGTTATTTGGGAGCGTGGGAGAGAGAGCGGGACGTCTGTGTGGTAGAGGGCTACGAGGGAGAGAGAGGGATTTGTGATTAGGCTTGAGAGGAAGAGGGCTAGGTCTGATGGGATTGAGGCCGATAGGGGGTTAAGCTCGTCGATTATTAAGAGGGTTTCTGGTCTTTTGTTAGGCTTCAGATATGTAATATAGTGTTTATGATACGCATTTTGTGTTCGGCGTTGGCCGAGTCATTGATCGCTTGTGTTGAGATTTCACTTACTCTGCGTGTGACCTGCGGGATAGTGTGAGATGATTTCTGAACGCAGCGACTCGGCTGTTTTGCCTTGCGCGCGGACGAAGATATCGACGCCGGCTGGCTTCCGCAGAGTCGCGAAAGAGATGTAGATTATCTTCGTTTTGGATATCTGTCTCATGAGTTAGTCGGGTAATCATGATTTAGTATTTCATCTCATAGAGTATGAGAAGGGTGTGAGGATTGTGAAAAGTGTGAGGCGGGACTTGGATATCGAGCTGGACTATCTGACCTGGGCTCTGCTCATAAATTCTCGTAAAATAGGCTTTCCGCTTTGCTCGAGAGTGTCGAGTACGAGAGTCAACGGACTCGCGCTGTCGCGCAGATTGAGGAGCTTTTGGAGCAACAGCAGCGCATGTGAGCGAGCATGCGACTGTGTCGTGGATGACGGCATTTTGAATATCTAGGTATTCTTCACTTGTGGCTACAAATAGGGAACCACCCTCTGTAATCTCCGCAGCGTCTCGAATTTTGAGATGCTGATTTATTCTCTAGAAATTAGTATCAGTCGATTAACAAGACCATAATAGCAACCCGACGACTCATTGACTGACTGTCGTCTATGGTAAAAACCCTTGTACGAAGCCTGTTGCTCCCCGCATCCCTAATTCGGAAGTTTTAGTGGTCAAATTTAGGTGGCTCAATGGCGATTTAAGGGCTCTCCACTAAAATTCAACATCATCCACACTTCTCACCACCTCTATGGCCATGCTGGGCATATTTGTATACACCCAACGGCGAAAACGCATGCATGCTGGTGTTTAGCTAAAGTAAGCAAAATTAAGCTCGACCACCTTATAACTGGAATCAAGATTTGTTGCATGGCTCTTTCATAACCTTCCTTACCTAGCGTCAGTGTAAACAGGTTATTGATCGCTACAGGTTGTGAACATGGCGAAGAGGCTTGAAAATAGAGTCACAAAATTCTGAACGCCCCGAAACATCACACCAAGAATATGATGTAACTGTAAATACGAATATCTAATTCTATTTAGAAAAGCCCAATGTGTCTAAAAGGCTCCTAGGTAGCTACATGCGTAGAGCTTGTCGAGCTTCGCAGCTAGTCCGTGTACCTCATCTTATCTGCTTTATCGAAGAACTCTGCGAGCTCCAGAGCTTGCTTGATATCTCTAAGTAACACTTCATTCTCAGCCTTGAGCTGTGCTTGAACCCCCGTTAGATGGTCGACTTTTTCTCGGAGCTCTGCGCAGCACGACTCGGCACCCTTGTATCGCTTCTTCAGTGTCTCATGCTCTCCCCATAGTGTCATCGCGGCGCGCTGTTTCTCATTGAATTCCACACACTGATACTGGGGTTAGTAAATCGTATATAACTATTCCGAGGATGAAAAATAAGAGCCTTTGTACAAGCTTCTATCATCGGGAAGAGGTATACGGATAAATTGTATGGATTGGGGAAAGTGAGCAAGGGGGTTACTTACCAGGCTATGCCATTGCTGCTTCGCGACCTCGTGATCCCTATCTAATTCTCTTCTGCTCAGGGCAAATAACGGCCCATGAGTGCGAATATCTTGGTAGGCGATGGGGTGCGTGGAGGGCTCATTAACATTTCCATCACAGGCACCATAGCGGAAACGGCTCCAGTTACTGGGTGGCTTAGATTTCAAGTCCTGGAACCGGTTTGAAGTAGCCTCGAAAAGGTGGTCATAACGCGGATATTCCTCCGCATCCGAATCTTTTGATTGCTTTGTGGTACCACTAGAGCATGTTACGAATTCAGATATGGAATCCATATTTCTGTAATGCTAGATTATGAAGTGTTCGTTAGGAAATCTATTAGACTATAGCAAGAAGGTGAAATCGTCCTTACCTTTAGACGGGGTGTAGCAAGACTAGTGATCCCCAGCTGTTTGTAAGCCATCCTAAGAGCAGGGCTATTAACATTAAGTCGCGGCATTGTGACGCGCTGTACGGATGTTTTTGTAGGAATCTTCGAGCTCTGGGTTAGTCGAAGCAATTCTGCCCACCAAGAAAATTGCAACCGAAATATCGAGGCGATAGAAATAGTGGAAGGTTGGATCATTTTCAGAAAACGCATGAGTCTTCTTATGGTTTCTCCTCTTTCTCATAATTCCTTGGCCAGTCAAACTTAATAGGGCTGCCTCAAAGGCTTATGCTCAAGCCGCGTCAGCATTTTAGGTGCATAGTTGCTTAGATCGGTCAAATATGAAGTTGCATTCTGCGTAGAGTTTACGCAACGGCCGAACGAACGATGGTGGGTAGCTTATTTCAATAGTAAAAAGCAAATAGGCTGAAAGGTCAAAAGAATACAATGTGCTTTTCGAAACATTTTGGACAAGTGGGAAATGGGTATTAATTCACCTGAATCTAAGTGGTATAAAAGCCATGCATATGCCTCAGATGGTGGTGCATGCATGATCTACCGATGTTATCAATTAACGGTCTCTTCCAAAGACGTGTGGTCTCTAGCGGCCTGGACTCAAAGGCCTGTTGAATCCTCCAACACGATTCATGTACTGACGATACTCAGTCTTCTTCGCCTTATAGACGGCTCCGGCGTTGTTGCCCGCGACTTTTTGACCCTTTGTAGTACCGAAACCACCAAAGCCCATCATAGCTTGCATGGCACCCATGCCATCGTCCTCAACAGCAATATCATCATCTTCCTCCATGGCGTCCTCTCCATCCTCGATATCTCGGTTCGGCTTTCTTCCTCGTCTCTCATCATCTTCTGCGGTGTCTTCTCGGCTGTCCCTGCCTAATTTGCCCTTTTGGCTTTGGTTGACCTCGTCTATGTCGCCTCTAGCCGAAGAGTGACCTGAGTCTCCGCCTCTATTTTTCGACCGTGTGGGGAGGGGTGAATCATGAGCCGCACGCCCAACCTTGCCTAATGGACTACGTGGCGATACAGAGCGCCGGGGATTGGGACGCCTCCCTGGACCTTTAAAAGGGTTAGAAACTAGTAATTTCCTCGGGGTATACATCACGTGTCATACCTCTGTCGTCGCGGTCGTCGTCGCGCCTGCGCCCGTCCCGTTCCTTCTCTCTCTCTTTTTCTCTATCTCTATCTCTACCTGGCTCTCTGTCTCTTTCTGAATGGCGGCCATCTGGCTTATCCCGGGTGCTCTCATGGCCTCGCCGCCTCTCTCTACTGTAGTCTCGATCCCTATCTCGGCGGTCGCGTCGGTCACTCACGGGAGATCGCGATCTAGATCTGTATCTGCGATCGCGGCTGCGGGGCCGACTATCTCGGTATCGGTCACGGTTATCTCTTCTATCGCGCGTGCCTCTGTCGTAGTTGTTGTGACGGTCGGATTCGTCCCACATTGCCCTGCTATCTGGGCGATTCCGACCACGGCGAGGATGGTCCGCCATGCTGTATAATCTGCGAATACAAAGCCAAGGTGAGAGTCGCGTTGGTTAGTTTACTGAAGCGATATGTACAATCCGATTATTGGCCGTGATGTGTGTGCGATAAAGAACTTGAGGCCGATCGATAGAAACGACCAGACCCGGTTGTTGCAAGGATGCGCCGACGCTGTTGGAGACTCAATGGAATTATTTACAGTGGGACTTGCTAGCTCCAAGGCCTTAAGTACTTAGCTAAGTACCCCATTTAGTGGAGGTAAGTACTGCTGGCAGCGCGGGGCAGGTCAAAGCAGCCTGGGGGTTGACCAAGACCTCCGTGACAGATACCTAGAAGTACATAGGCAGTACATTCACAGTTACTGACAATAGCAGCTTCAGGGGCACTGACGTCAGGTCTGCTCTATGTACCCGATCTAATCGATAAGAGCTCCGCGGCCCACAATAGCAGGTACAGCCAGTCCGTCCATGGGTCTTCCTCGCCAATCCAAAACCGTGTTCAGTTCTAAGCGGTATCAAGGCTCACCTAGAATTCACGAAATCGCACCTATACAGTAGTCACTCTCTCTTTCAGCTATTTCTTTCAATTCAATGTCGTCATGAGGCTCTTAAGCCAATTGACAGCTGGGCTGTCTCTCTCCGCCATTGCTTCTGCATCTACAGCGGAAAACGAAGGGGTCCTCCACAGTGAAATCGGCCGCTTAAACAACCAAAGTCTACTATGGGGTCCCTACCGCCCCAACCTCTACTTCGGTGTTCGCCCGAGGGTACCACACAGCTTAGCAGCAGCCTTGTCATGGGTCAAGGTAGATAACTATGTCGATGTGCAAGGCAGTATGTTGTAGCACCTAGTTATTTCCATTGTAGCCCAGGAGAACCCCCCTTGCTGATGTTAACCTAGATGTTCGATATACCTGTGAGCAAAATGAAGACATGGCGGGCTACGGCTGGGATGAGTATGACACTCGCAGGGGTGGCGTCCAAACCATTCACGACGCTAAAAATCAGATTGACATGACTACCACGTTTGTCAAGGTCCCTGGAGGCGCCCATGGAGGTAGCTGGGCCGCAAGGATCAAAGGTGAACCTCGCGACGATGCGTCGCCAGATCTCAAGACAACTGTCATTTTCTATCTTACTACCGAAGGTCCGGAAGAGACCATCGATGTTGCCGAGAGCAGCGCTACCGGTTTCGATGGAGACGTGACTTTCAGCGGCACGTCAAAGGACTTGGGTGGGTACAAGCTTGTGGTTACGAAAGGGAAAGGAGCCCATCCAGCGAGCGACCATCCCGCATCGGCACAGAGAGACTTGGAAAAGACCGTTGTGCACTCTGATACCGTGCCTCTTTATCATCTGTGGCAGGCCAAGAAGCTCCTCTTCCAATATCTTCAGGCTAGCGTGAATGAGATTATCAAGGAGTATGGCCCAGACACCGCACCCCCTCCATGGCAGGTATACATGCTGCCCAACGCAGCCAAATCCGGTAATATACAGATCGTCCAGAAGGTCTTTGAGGGTCCATTCGAGTTCGATATATTGTTTTCCAGCGAGTCTGCGGGCAAGGGCATTACAAGCGAGGATTTATCCAGGGAAATTCAGCTAAACACCGAGACATTCAACGACCGATTTAAGGAGATCTTCCTTCCAAAAGCGCCGTTCAACACTGGGAAGTACGAGAAATTTGGAAAGAGTATGCTGTCCAACTTGGCTGGCGGTATTGGCTATTTCTACGGACAGCACATAGTCGATCGCTCCGACGCCCCCGAGTACCTTGAGGAGAATGAAGGGTTCTGGGAAGGGACGGCTGAGGCGCGGGGCCGTAGGCAAGAAGAGATGGAAGGTCCATACGAATTATTCACAAGCATCCCATCACGACCCTTTTTCCCGCGTGGTTTCCTCTGGGATGAAGGGTTTCATTTGCTTCCTATCATCGATTGGGATACGGATCTAGCGCTAGAGGTCGTCAAGAGTTGGTATAACCTGATGGATGAAGATGGCTGGATTGCGCGGGAGCAAATCCTTGGTGAAGAAGCCCGGAGCAAAGTGCCCCCAGAGTTCCAGGTCCAATACCCGCACTACGCCAACCCGCCTACATTATTTATGGTTGTTGAAGAGTTTGCAGACAAACTCCAAAGGTCCAACGGTAGCAAAGAGACTGGCAGTGAGCGGCTGTCTGCAGGCGATTTTCTACAGACTGCATACGTGGACAATCCAGAACTAGGCTTTGAGTATCTCCGGAACTTATATCCTCTTCTTCGCCGGCAATATCTTTGGTTTAAGAGGACTCAATTTGGTGATCTCAAAGAGTACGATCGGGACGCTTACTCCAAGAAGGAGGGTTATCGATGGCGCGGTCGATCTATTCAGCATTGTTTGACAAGCGGCTTAGACGATTATCCTCGTCCGCAGCCTCCTCACCCTGGCGAGCTTCATGTTGATCTCATGTCTTGGATGGGCATGATGACCCGAACTTTGGCTAAGGTAGCTGATATTGTTGGGCTGCCAAACGACGTTCAGGAATACAACAAAGCCCTCGATGGAATTTCACACAACCTGGTCGATTTGCACTGGTCCGAGAAACACGAGTGCTTCTGCGATGCCACCATTGATGACTTCGAAGAGCATGCTCTGGTTTGCCACATAGGTTATATCTCGCTATTCCCCTTCTTGATGGGTCTTCTAGGGCCCGATGATACCAAACTCGGCAAGGTTCTCGATCTTTTAGGGGATGAAACTCACCTATTCAGCCCGCATGGTATCCGAAGCTTAAGCAAGCGGTCACCCTTCTATGGCACAGATGAGAATTATTGGAGAAGCCCTGTTTGGATCAATATTAACTACCTTGCTCTAGTGCAACTTCGAGTAAGTCGTATGTCCGTTGTTTATATTTACCAACGCTGACCTATTTCTAGGAATACGCCCTTAAATCTGGGCCTTACGCAGTGAAGGCTGCGGACCTCTTCAACCGCCTCCGCCAGAACCTCGTGGATACAGTGTACAATAGCTGGGAGGAAACGGGGTTTGCATGGGAGCAGTATAACCCAGAAACCGGTGCAGGCCAGCGAACACAACACTTCACCGGCTGGACGAGTTTGGTAGTGAAAATGATGGCTATGGATGAGCTGAAAGAAGCTGGCAACGCTCATACTCGAGATGAACTATAATGTCTTTGCCAGATTGAACGTCATGTGCCCCCGAGATACAAATGTGTATATATAGCACGATTGCCTTATGAAAATATGAGCGCTGAATTCGATAGAGTGGTGGTTTCTCCAAGCTACTTGTATATTTTTTTTTCTTTGTCCCTTGTGTGCTAGGCTTGGCCTAGGTACGTGTTTCACATTCTATCTGCCCCTCACAGGTATCTTGGTAACTTTTCTCGAGTCTACAGGGCTTCGGGTCAATATGGTCTGATTGTAATGTGCTGGTCACACAAGCCACCACCAGCAAGAATCAATACCGAAGTTATTAATTGGTCTCAGGAGCTGATGTCAAGTGTTAGTAGTGGGTGTCCCAGGACTCCAGGAGTGAAGTTGGGTCGTAAGTAGGTAGCACCTGGATAGTAGATAGGTTGAATGTAAGGGCTCAGTGTTATTGATTCTTGGCCTTCCTAATACTGAAGGGGCCTTTCGCCTTATATACATAACTATTGAACTATCCCCACCCCTTCGGGGTAACTTCTGCCCTAGTGCTTCTTTGCCCCTGACATCAACATCGCATTGACAGAGCACCTCAGCCCCTTTCAATTAGACCCATCTATGGAGTTCCGACTGCCAGTGCGACACGAAGCCACTTAACCAAAGACCATACCCTCAGCATCAAGTTAAGCTAGACAATTGAATATAAAGAAGGGCCACAAGGGCCCAGTTCTATATGCAGACTGAACCAACAGTAAAGCTGCTATGCGCAGGAGGGAACGTTACAAAAGTAGTTGTGGGGACATGTAATACTCCATCATGCGCCTTTTGGGCCATGAATACCCGTTTATTAAGTCTGAATTCTGGCGCCCCGGTCTTGGGTATCCAAGGACGAGTTAACACGGCGAGAGTCTAGTAGAATCAACATCAGATTCGAAACCAGCTTCAGTCTCAGTTAATATTCTCACGTGCATAACAACGAGGCTTAGAGGTTGAAGGATGCTTCAAATTCCTTCAACTCCAATATTATGGAGCTGTTTGGTGGCTTAGATGATGATGTAGCGGCCTGACAGACCTGTGTTGACTATGCATGACGGCAAGAATCAACGATGAGAACCGCTTCCTCGTGCTTCTGGTAGCCAATCCCTCATTACATATCGGGACACAATAGCATAGAGTCGGTGTATTAGGGTGACAGTGCCTGAGGTTTATTGCGTTGCCTAGTTGGGGTCATGTAGTTCTGTGGCTCAGGATGCTCCTGGCGAATGAGAGACAAGCAAATCCAGTTGCCTAACGAGTTGAACTTTTGCAACCCCCAGCACTACGCCAACGACGGTTATGGACAAGCGTTCTGGGACACAAGAATGGCTGAACGTGCATCTACACTTCGGGATATCGGAACTATAGAATCAACTTAAAAGGCTGTGATGATCACCCCGAGATTTAACCCATCGACATCCCAATCTGTTGCGCCAAACCTCTCTGTTCCCCTGTGCTCTTTTCAACAATATTCAATCGTTATTCAGAACCCCAATTCATTATGTCGTCCACCATGTCAAACGCGACTTGCGACTTTGACTTTCCGAATTGGGCGTCGCTCACCAGCGTTCCCACAAACATCACTGTTGGCGGTATCATAAAGACCAACGAAACTATGACCGCGATGCAGAACTGCTGCGCGCCGAATCCCATTCACGCTACCGGGAATGACAGCTGCGTTTTGTGGTGCGAGGTCCCAAAGAATATCACGACCTTCGAGGAATGGAAGGATTGCGTGTTCAAATACTCGGACCCCGTCCCGGGCCTTAGTGTCAATTATCGGGAAGCACAGTCAATGGGCGCGGCGATACGTCCGACTGTAAAGCTTGTTGCTGTGACTGGGCTTCTTGCTTTAGGCCTGTACGCCTGGTAACTGCCTGGCCTAGAAGAGCGACTCAATAATAAGGCATGTTGGGGTGTATAAACGACTTGTTATATCATCTGTTAGGAGAAGTAGTAATCGGGGAGTGTGTTCACTATTGGAATTAGGAAGGCAGGGATGGATAATCCTGGTGGCTGGTACTTTAACCCATACACACTCTACTATATAAACAGATGTACCACCCTAACCTATAGTACTTAGACTAAGTTCCTTAATGCAATATACAGTATGATTCCTCACTTATAGTCACGGCTCCTAGCCTTTAGGCTAGCCGTACGGCCGTACGGATGACGTACGGGTGATAGTTCTATTCTATAGCTTAGTCAATAGCCCTTGCCGGACCTCCGGAAGCCTATTCAGCCTACCGTAGCGTATATAGCCTAGTTGACGAAGGTTATGACCTAGCAAGTCATCCTTTACTTCGTCACCTTATAATTAATAGTGTGTTTCTAGTATTTACCGACGACATTGCACATTGCGCCCGTTGTAACACTTATAGTACTATTTATACTATATTATTTTAATTGGTTATAAGCCCAGAAGTTTATAACCTTAAAAGAGAATAACTTTTAACATTTTACCTTATTTAATTTATTTAATTATAAATATATTATATTAATTTAAAAATATTTTTATTTATAATAAAAGACTGCTACTTTTTTATTAAGCTATAAGGGTAAAAAAATGCTAAAGATATTATAATAATAGAAGTATTATACCTTAATAGCGTACCCCTTACTATATACCCTAATGTATAAATATACCTATTAAAAATATAATACTTATTAAAATAATAAAAATTAAAATAACTATACCTTTTTTTAATATATTAATAAAAATATTAAAATTTTACCTTTATTATTAATAGTTATTATTATTTTTATTTAAAAGAAAACAATTTAAAGTAATAAATAATATATTATAAAGTATAAATTATTAAAAGGAAATTAAAATATTATTATTTATTACTTTAATAATTAAAAATTAAATTAAATAAAAATAATTAAAATAATAAAAAGATAATATTAACCTTAAGATTTAAAATAAATTAATATTTAAAGGTTAAGTTAAATTTATTTATAAAAATTTAAAAATCTATAATTAAATATAACTTTAAAACTTAACTATTTATTCTATCTATTTATTATTATTTTTTAAATAAAGAGAATTTTCCCTTTTTTATATAAAAATTTAAAAATAAATAATAATTAAAACTCTTTTATAAAAACTTTATTAATTATAATTATTAATTATAAATATTATTATTATTTACTTTATTATTATAACTTTTATTATCCCCTTTATTTAAAAAGGTATTATTAATTTTTATATTTAATAATATTAATAAAATTAATTTATTTAAATTAAAAGTTATTATTAGGTTTTTATTATTTAAAAATACCTTTATTATTTTTAAAATAAATAATATTTAAATATATTAATATTTTAAATAATAATAATTTTAATAAATTTATATTAAATTTATTTATTTTAAAAAATAATACTTTAAATAATAATACCTTATATTAATTAATCTTTAAAACAAATTAAAATAAATAAAGAAATTAAAGTTAACTTTTTATTCTTTAATTAAATTATAATATTTAAATCCTTATTTAAATACTTTAAATTTAAAAGAAAGATAATTAATTATATTTATATAATAAAATATATTAATTATTTATTTAAAAAAGCTAGGGAAAAATAACCTATTAAAATTAAAGATATATTAATTAAAGTTACTTTATATAAAGCTTAAATAAATTAAAGGGTTATATAATAAAAAGTATTAAGCTATATTTAAAGCTATTATAAAAAAATATATTTAAAGTTATTTTAAATTATAAAATATAAAAAAAGGATATAAGTTTAAAAATTATTATAATAAATATTTAAAATTTAATTAAAGAAAAATTTAAACTAATTAATAATTTAACTTTTTAAAACCTATTAAATAAATAATAAACTACTTTATTAACTATTAAAGGATTAATTTTAACCTTTATAATTAAATTAAAGTTAATATACTTAAAATTTAAGGAATTAAATATAAAAACCTATATTTTAAGAAAATTATTCCTTCTTATAAGGTTTTTATTTAATTTTAATAATAAATATTTAATATTTATTTTAACCTTCCTTTAAATAAATTATATTATTATTATTTAAAAGATATTAAGTGGAAAAATAATAAAAGGAACTACTTTTTAATTAGCTTTAATAAAAATATTATAAAAAAAGTAAATAAAAAAGATAGCTGCTTAAAATTCCATTAATATTTTCCTTTTCTTTGAATAATATAATTAAAATAGAAATAATAATAAAGAAAATAATTAAAATAATTATTAAAGGAAATAAAAGATACCTAATATAAGATGCTATTATTATATTACTATTAATAAAAAGAATATTAATTATAATAATAATAAATACTTTTTTAAATATTTAAAAAAAGCTTTAAAATAGTAGAATAATAATAAAGGAAATAAAAAACTTAAGTTAAATAATAAT